TTTTACCTTGAGGCAGTGGTCCTGGGCACCGTTATGGCGGAGTTACAGGGTGCCCCCTTGGAGCGGGAGAAAGGTGGTCCGTCCCTTGGGTGCCACCCGGTGGTAGTGGGAGCGTTACTTGGACGCAGGTGCTTTCTTGGCAGGTTTAGGTCACCCCCCCATAATTGTGTTAAAGCTCCGGCCAAAGGTAAGATCCTTTTGTGTCATGGGGGGGTGGGGAGGCCCGTCATTGCCGAAACGCTGCTGGCGTGCCCCGAGGTCGATCCAGGGGGGAGAGAGGTAGAGGGGCGGGGAGAGCCCCCGGGGCGTGCGTGCGGCGCGCGGGGTGGCCGGGTGGGGCCGCCGTCTCATCTACTCAAGCCACCGTCGAGCAGGATCTCCGGCTCGACGATTGGCACGAGGCCGTTCTCCTGGCAGATGCGCGCGTAGCGGGCAAGGTCCTGCGCCGCGACGTCAATCGCCAGATCGGTGGGGCAGCCGGCCGCCACGTTGATGGTGAGGGCGGTGCGCCACTTGGCGAAACGCGCTCCCTGCTTGTAGTACCCCGCGCACCGCTCCGCGAGGTTGTCGAGGCCGCGGCACCACTTCTCTCCGTCGCCGCCGCCGCAGAGCGGGATGAGGCCCGTGTCAACCTTGATGCCCGGGATGATGCCGTTGCCCTTCAGCACGTCGACGAAGGGCTTGCCGGCCGGGTCGTCCTGGAAGAGCGTCTCCTGCGGTGGCAGAGCGGGGCGCGGCGCGTTCGCTTTGCCCTCTGGTGGGTGGGAGGGCCAGCCTTGAGCTCTCGCCTCGAAGAGAATCGCGCCCGAGATGTACTGCCCAATGCCCTTCGTGGTGAAGAGGAGGTTGCGCCACTTTTGGCGGTTGGCCTCGTTGTTCTCGAGGCCGATGCTCTCGAGCCGTGTGCCGACGGTGCCGGTGGACTCGTCGCAGGCAAGCAGACCCTTGCCCGGCGCCACCATCGCCGACGCCGTCTCGCGCAGCTCGGCGGCGTACTCGCCGTCGTAGATGGGCGCCGCGTTGGGCGTCGCCATGGCGATGGAGGCGTGCCGTCCGGCCGGCGCGATGCGGGTCGCCGGCGATTGGAAGGAATAAGCGCAGAGAGTGAGCATTGCTGAGATAGATGCTATAGCGAAGACCGTGGAGTCGGTGTCCCTAGGGTACCAGCGGGAAAAAAAAGTATTATCCTAACGGTGTGGGGGCGCGGAGGGCTTGTTGGCGAGCCAAAATGGTGTTTTCCGAGGCGCTGCGCTAGGCTCAGAGCGAGTTCGCGCTGCGCTAGGCTCAGACGGCGAGTTCGCGCTGCGCTAGGCTCACAGATGCGAGTGCGCTGCGATAGAAGAAAAAAACAGGGTCGAAACGACAACCGAAGGGAGGACTGTGTAGTGTAATCATGTGTCAAGAATCACGTGCTGCTGCTGCTGCTGCTACTGCTGCTGCGGCGCGGCGAGCGCCGTCGCCGAGGCGGGCCTCGGCGGAGAGCGCGATTATGCGGCCTTTTCCGCGACCCGCACAAAGAAGAGGCGCCCTCCGTCAGCCTCGACCTGCCACCGGCTCGCGTCGACCGACCCGGCCGCGTGCCACACCTCCACAGCCCAGTGCGCCAGCCCGCAGAAGTTGCCCTCCTCGATGCCCCATCCCGTGGGCCACGCGGCCAAGGCGGTGCCGAGAGGCGGCGGCGGCGCCGCGGTCGCCTCGAGACGCGCCGCGACGGCGTCAAAGGCGATCCGCCTCGCGCCCGTCGCGGCCGCCTCGGCCAGCAGCGCCTCCCCGGCCAGCCGCGGGAGGTCGCCCTCCGTCTCGAACCAGCACGACGAGCGGCCGTCGGCGCACGCCTCGTCCCAACCCTTTGAACCTGGCGTGATAAAGGCCGACCAGTCTTTTGAAGCCCTGCCCAGGGCTCCGCCGGGCCGACGTTGCCAAGGGAACAACCC